CTGCGCTCGCTGGGCGTCCGCCTGGTGAGCGGGGAGGGCGGGCGCCTCGAGTGGTTCGGTTGCAGCAAGGAGACCCCGCGCTGCTTCGGGACGGTGGTGGGCGACACGCCGGCCTACCTCTACGAGGAGCGCTGGACGCCCCCGTGCTGCCTGCGCGCGCTGCGCGAGACCGCCCGCTACGTGGTGGGCGTGCTGGAGGCGGCGGGCGTGCGCTACTGGCTGGAGGGCGGCTCGCTGCTCGGCGCCGCCCGCCACGGGGACATCATCCCGTGGGACTACGACGTGGACCTGGGCATCTACCTGGAGGACGTGGGCAACTGCGAGCAGCTGCGGGGGGCCGAGGCGGGCTCGGTGGTGGACGAGCGCGGCTTCGTGTGGGAGAAGGCCGTAGAGGGCGACTTCTTCCGCGTGCAGTACAGCGAGAGCAACCACCTGCACGTGGACCTGTGGCCTTTCTACCCCCGCAACGGAGTCATGACCAAGGACACGTGGCTGGACCACCGGCAGGATGTCGAATTCCCCGAACACTTCCTGCAGCCTCTCGTGCCCCTGTCCTTCGCTGGCTTCGTGGCGCAGGCGCCTAACAACTACCGTCGCTTCCTGGAGCTCAAGTTCGGCCCCGGGGTCATCGAGAACCCCGAGTACCCCAACCCGGCACTCCTGAGTTTGACGGGAAGCGGCTGAAGCTCCAGCGCCCGCTCCTGGGGTCTGAAGAACACTCATGCGCGGGGAGCTGCCCTTTCCTTTGGCGCCGTTGGCATTTGGGGGGCGGGCCGGGGGCGGGCCGGGGACGGGCCTGGACCTCGAAGACCTGCCCTGCCCAAGAGTTCCAAGAGCTTGGGTTTTATTTAGAGCACGGACAGTCTTATAAAGAGGAAAACGTGTACGTTCTGCGGCTGGACTGCCGCGATTAAAACCCCAGCTCTACCACTTACTAGTTGGGCGGGCCTGGGCGAGTGTCCCAGTTTCTGGGTGCGCATCACTTTCCTCCAGGATTCAGTGGGTGAGGCCCTCGCAGCGTCTCGCTCGTGAAGAGCCCCGCAGGACTCTTGGTTGCTGGGGTTGCTTCCGCCACTAGAGGGCGCCTTTGTCCTGCTCTGGGGCCAAGGCCCGAGTAAGCCCTGGACCTCCCCGTTCCCGTAGCTTTCCTAACTCTTGAGCCTTTGGTCTCTCTAATCCCCCGTACCTGGAGGGACAGGATGACTATCTCCCTTCTTCCAGAATGCGACCTCCTTGCCTCCTGGGAGAGCCCTGTGAGATGCATGCTGCTCTTAACCCCATCTTACAGAGGAGGAAACAGGCTCAGCCCTGAGCTGCAGCCGTGGTTAAGAACCGGGTTCTGGATGCCAGACCCACTCCATATTAACTGCGTTACCTCATTGTTGTAGAACTCTGCACCTGTTAGCCCACTTGCAAGGCGGGATAAACAGCAATCCTAGCTCACATAACTCAGCACGTGTGATGTGCCAGGCATCCTTCTCGGTGTTGGACACGGATTAACTGATCAATCTCTCACCTCAACCCTCTGAGGCGGGAGGGAGCTGCTGTTATTTCCGTTTTACAGGTGAGCACACTGAGGCCAGAATGGTAAAGTCACTTGCCCAAGGTCAGACAGCTTAGGAAGTGACAGAGCAGGGACTCGAACCCAGTCAGGCTGGAGCCCACACTGAAGTGGGATATTCTGCCCCTCTCTAGTAACTCTACATGAGACGGGGCGTCCCGGGAGGCCGCACCACTTAGCAGGTGAAGCCATGGCGGCCTTCCTTTTGTGATCATGCACCCAAGAGTAAGTGCTGTTTGGGCAAGTATCCCAAATATGTGTATTTATTTATAAATTATATACAGGTACTACTATCGTTCTGTATATTAGTAATGAGGCTTAAATTATCCCATTTTAAAATTTAAAATAAACTTAGAGGTTTATTTTAACTGGCTCATCTCAGTGACTTGTCCCGCACACCCCCTGGGTGTGTGCACCCAGCTTTTGGGACCATGGATTCTGAGGCGGGAGAGGCCTGGGGTCAAAACCCAGCGCTGCCACACCCCCTTTCTCCCATTGGGAATTTGGGCCGTGGTGACTCTCCCTCTCTGAACCTCTGCTTTGCACCTGGGAAATGCGGGTCATGAACGCTCACCCCCCAGGGGTGCTGTGAGCCACTTGAGTGGAACGGGCTCAGGAATCAAGGCTGGGTTTGGCTCCTGGCACGGCCACTTATTTTCTTTGTGATCTTAGGCAAGTCACTGCCTCCCCAAACCTATAGGTTGGGTGTGGGGAAGGGGTGATACTGCAGAAGCGGGAAGCCCTTGGAGGAGGAGGCGGCGGCACAGACCGGCCTCAGCATTGGCCCGCCAAGCCCCTCCCCCACTGTCCCCTTCTCACTTCCTCAAATCCTCTGCCATCTGGCCATCTCTTTCCCGATGGTCTGCCAGATCGCTTTGGTTTTGCAAGGGAAGCTAGAAGTGTTTTCTTAAATCGCAACAGAAGATATAAATGCAAATCTGGCCCACTCTCAAACGTGGCTCCCACATCCAAAGTCCGATTTCTTAGAACACAGCCTCTGTTTTTAGCCACTGAACCCGCAAATGGCTCCCAGAGACTGTTGGGTTTCCATGGAGCATTCTGGAAACATATGGGGATGATTTGGGTTATCACTGTGATCGGGTGGTGCTTTTGGCTCTTGGGAGGCATAGCCCAGGGATGGAGATGTCATAATATGCAGGGCATCTTCACATAATAAAGCATTGGCCCTTGTCACATACGGTTTTGAAATGTCCCGTTGGACATTCATGAAGGAAGTGTGATGTTCAAAATCGTTTGCAACTGGTACGGTGATATAAATTAATATATACGTCAATATATGCATCAAAGTGTTTAAATATTTCTTTTTTCTTCTCTGAAGAATGGGAACGATCTCTCTATATATACATATTTCTTTAAATTGTTTGCCAAGAACATAAGCTGGAGCTCAAATCATTCTTAAATCATGCAATGATTTTGTTTTATTTAGAAACTTACTTAGAAATTGTTGGTGCGATTTCTTGATTGATATGCTAAATATATATATACACATATATATTCACTTATTTAATTACTTTATTTATTATATTAAATATATATAAAATAACCCTGGCTTAGCTGTGATTTGATAAGAAAACCACATCAAGTGCTTCTGGCAACTTCCCATTAAACTGAATGCCATTAGGTGACTTGGAGTCTCAACAGATAAAGAATTTCTCTTAGCACCATCCATAGGGTTTTGGTGTTTTCTCCTCTCTTCATTGTTCCTGAACTAATAACAATTACACTAAAAACTTTTGTAGCCTTTATAAAACTGCCTGACAGCTTTGTGTATTCAGTATCTTTATTATCGACTAGGTAGTAATAGGACAGAAAACCTATTGCAGCAATTAACTTGAATTAATGAGTTTATATTAGGATATGTTATTATTGAATTTTAGTGCTTTCTCAATTCCTTTTGCATGATTAGCCAGCCAGAACAGAAGTATTTCGATATTGTAAAAACCAGCACATCCATACTAGTGCATATTAACCAAATTTTAGCCTCACGTGGAAAAACTTGGTTAAGAATTATCTGAGCCCCAGGGGCACCTGGCTGGCTCAGTCGGAAAGAGCATGCGACTCTTGATCTCAGGGTCGTGAGTTCAAGCCCCACGTTGGGGGTAGAGATGACTAAAAAAAATAAATAAACTTTAAAAAATAAATAACATAAAATCATGTGCAGGTAGGTTATAGTATCTATGACCTTCATTTCAGCAGAGCCCAGAGGATTTTCCCAGAGCTGACAAGCCAACACGTGGCCGTGATGTGGTTAAAGCATGAAAATATTACATTATAGATTACTGATCTGTTGGTAAACGGTCATCGCCATGGATCCCCTGTTATTACCTCCCTGGCTTTCTATGGGGACTCCCTGGACTTCTCTCCCCCCACCCTACCCCCAGCAACCAAGGGGTTAACACTGGGCACAGCCAGAGGGAAGGAGGTTCAAGTCTCTACCGCTATTGGATGCTCTGCTCCCTTTACCAAGCAGTAAATATTTGTGTATCCTCCCTGGGCATTACAAAAGATTCACTATGGAAAGTCAATGGCTGGCAAACCACCTGTGGACATACGCACCTTTATATACAATAGCCCCAAACCAGAAACCACCCAGTGTCCCTGTCAGGTGGGTGGATACACAAACCTGCACCCAAACAGTGGAATACTCGCCGGTGATTAAAAACAAAAAGGAATAAACCGATATGTACACAAACATGACTAAATCTCAAAGGCATTATGCTAAGTAAAAGGAACAGGATGCGAAAAGTTACCTGCTACAGGATTCCACTAATGTGAAATTCTAGGAGAGGCAAACTAATCTTCAGTGACCCAAAGCAGATCAGTGGTTGCCTGGGCCTGGGGGCGGAGGGAGGGACAGAATGCAAAGGAGCACCAGGATATTTGGGCGTGCTGGGAATATCATGTATCTTGATTGTGGTGGTTTTCACTATCTATGCATCTGTCAATTTTTTTAAGATTTTATTTATTTATTTATTTATTTATTTGAGAGAGAGAGAATGAGTGAGTGAGAGCGCACACGAGAGGGGGAGGGTCAGAGGGAGAAGCAGACTCCCAGCTGAGCAGGGAGCCCGATGCAGGACTCGATTCCGGGACTCCAGGATCATAACCTGAGCCGAAGGCAGTCGCCTAACCAACTGAGCCACCCAGGTGTCCCTGCATCTGTCAATTTTATCCAAACACTTCCTTTCATGGATACACTTCATTGTATGCAAATTATACCTTAATAAGGTTGACATCCCCCCCCCAAAAAAAGATTGGGAGAGGTTGTCCAACAGGCCTAGTAACACTGTCGCAAGGAAAGACAAAGGTGTGGGGTGCCTGGGTGGCTCAGTCAGTTAAGCGGCTGCCTTCAGCCCAGGTCATGATCTCAGGGTTCTGGGATCGAGTCCCACGTCGGGCTCCCTGCTGAGCGGGGAGCCTGCTTCTCCCTCTCCCTCTACCTGCCGATCCCCCTGCTTGTACTCTCTCTAATAAAAAATAAAAAAATCTTAAAAAAAAAAAGACAAAGGTGTGATTACCCTGTGCCTGCCAGCCCCCCATCCTGGCCCAATGCAGGGCTAGTGTGAGGACTCCCTCCCAAGCTAGACTCCTTCGAAGGAGCAAGAGGGGTGTCCCCAAAAAAGGGGTGGGTGGAGCCATGGAGAAAGGGAGAGGGAGGTGGGAGCCGGGCCCCAGAGGATGTCTGTCCAGGTGCTTTTCCTTCTTTTTTTTTTTTTTAAATTTTATTTATTAATTTGACAGAGAGACGGCGAGAGAGGGAACACAAGCAGGGGGAGTGGGAGAGGGAGAAGCAGGCTTCCCGCGGAGCAGGGAGCCCGATGCGGGGCTCGATCCCAGGACCCTGAGATCATGACCTGAGCCGAAGGCAGACACTTAACCGACTGAGCCACCCAGGCACCCCTTTTCCTTCTTTTCTTATGTAACCTTCACCAGTGGCCTTGGGGTGAAGCATAACAGAGCCATAGTCACCAGAGGGCGAGACTCCACCGTGCTTAGGTAAGGCGACAGAGCTGGGGGGCAGCAGAAACAGGATCTCAACCAGGTAACAGCCTCTTCTAGGCAGGTGGCTCTGTAGCTGGAGCCCGATTCATTCATTCCGCAAATATTTATTGAGTGCCTACTATGTGCAAGGCCCCATGCTGTGCTCTGAGCAGACAGTGGTGAACAGGACAGAGGTGGCTCCCTCGTGGAGTGCACATCCGAGTGGGGACCAGGTCTGCGAGCCCCTGTCCACACTCAGGAGGCTTGAAATAGTTCCAGATTTTTGATTTTTAAAGATTTTCTTTATTCGTTTGACAGAGAGAGACACAGCGAGAGAGGGAACACAAGCAGGGGGAGTGGGAGAGGGAGAAGCAGGCTTCCCGCGGAGCAGGGAGCCCGATGCGGGGCTCGAACCCAGGACCCTGAGATCATGACCTGAGCTGAAGGCAGACGCCTAACGACTGAGCCACCCAGGTGCCCGGTTCCAGACTTTTTTAAATGACCCAGATCAGTGTCTTAGGCAAATTAGTGGCATGTGCCTAGTAAGTCTTGAAAATGGAATCGAAAAACGGGGAAATTGGAACTTGGCCTAGTTATGGATTCCTTATATGTATACATATTGTACATATAGGATATGGGATATATTACACATGTGTGTATCTCTGTAGACAGGCATCCTTCATAATCTGATCCATCCCCCCAAAAGCATTAAATAGAAAATTTGAAGATAGGGCGCCTGGGTGGCTCAGTCGTTAAGCGTCTGCCTTCGGCTCAGGTCGTGATCCCAGGGTCCTGGGATCGAGTCCCTCATCAGGCTCCCTGCTCGGCAGGAAGCCTGCTTCTCCCTCTCTCGCTTCCCCTGCTTGTGTTCCTGCTCTCTCTCTCTGTCAAATAAATAAAATGAAATATTTTTAAAAAAAGAAAAAGAAAATTTAAAGATAAACAACTATTTTAAGTGGGGAATGTAATGCACTCCCAGCTCCTTCCAACAACCCCAACTAATTTCCCCAAATACCATTAAAACTCAAAACACTTTTATAACCACCCACCAAGGATTTTGGCGTAATAGAAAGCATTGAAAACGCCAATTACTTCATTATTCAACACTTAATGAACTCATTAGTGGTTATGTTTGTGTGCAATACACAATTTTGCACCGAATCAGATATGAATTATATTTTCCTTCCACACTGCAAGGATCATGAGATGTAACTAAATACCCACCCCCCAAAAAATGCTGAAGATACTCAAGATACCATCTGTAATTGAACTCAGATTGGTGGTGCCTCCAGGTACCTGGCAGGAGCCTACAGAGGGCTCTGGGAGGGGAAGATAATGATCAGTAATGTGTAACATGTTTCAGCAATGTACAAGGCAGGATTGTTAGAGCGGGTGAGGCGCGATTGGTGTCATCCACATCCTGGACTCAAACGGGACTTAAAAACAGTTGCACAGGGCGCCTGGGTGGCTCAGATGGTTAAGCATCTGCCTTCAGCTTGGGTCATGATCCCGGGGGTCCTGGGACCGAGCCCCACGTCTGGCTCCTGGCTCAGCGGGGAGCCTGCTTCTCCCTCTGCCGCTCCCCCGCTCATGCTCTCTCTGTATCTCTGTGTCTCAAATTAATAAATAAAATCTTTAAAAAATAATAAAAATAAAAACAGTTGCATAGCAGGGTTTTTTATTCAAACGGCAAATTCAGGGTTTTAAAAAAGGGAGGGGACAAGTCCTTACTGGCACTGTTTGGATAGTGAGAGTTTCAAGTATCAAGGGACACCCGCATTCCTATGTGGGTGGTTACACTGGAAAATCAATTTCTTCCCTGGAGTCGTACAAAGTTTCTCAACTGGGAGATGGTATACATAGGCTAAAATGCAGATCTTCGGGGCGCCTGGGAGGCTCAGTCGTTAAGCGTTTGCCTTTGGCTCAGGTCATGATCCCAGGGTCCTGGGATCCAGCCCCGCATCGGGCTCCCTGCTCAGTGGAGAGCCTGCTTCTCCCTCTCCCACTCCCCCTGCTCGTGTTCCCTCTCTCACTGTGTCTGTCAAATAAATAAAATCTTTTTAAAAAATAAAAATAAAAAATAAAATGCAGATCTTCAGTGTACAGGCGAATTTTTCCAAACGTATAGGTCTGTGTAAGCAACACCCGCCTCAAGATACGGGTTTGCTACATCGTGAAGTTTCCCTGGGCTCCTTCCCAGTCACGAAGTCACCCTCATGGGTCATCACTGTTTGGATTTCTCTCACAATAGACCAGTTTAGCCCGTTCCACACCTTCATAGAAACGGAACTAGGTAGCATACACTGTTTCCAGCTTTCACTCAAAATGTTATCCATGGGATGCATATCCAAATGGAATAGATTTTTTTTTTTTTTGCTGAGCAGCCATCCATCATAATATTTGTACTCCTCTATCAATTGATGCATTTCCAAATTTTGGCAATTATGGGGAGAGCAGCCATAGACATTTGTGTACTGGGCTTTGGGTGGACTGAAGTTTTTTCTTCTCTTTGGTAAGTGGGACTCCTGAGCTGTTAGTAAGTGTATTATGTTGACTTGGTAAGAAACTGCCCAGCAACTTTTCCCAAGTGTCTGGACTGTTGTGCATTCCCGCCCGCAGAGTGTGGGGCTCTATCCAGTCGCTCTACTTCCTCAGCCACACTTGGCACTTGCTTTCTGCCTTTCCAACAGGTGTGCAGGGGCAGCTCATCGTGGTTTCTCCAGTGGGGTTTTTTGATGAACAGCTATTTTATGTCAACGAAGCCCAATTTTTCGTGTTTGTTTTTTCTGTGTGGCTTGTGCTTTTAGTCTTAAAAACATCTGATGAGATACGCTTCACAACTTTATTGCTCAAAAAGGTCCTTTGGAGTGACAGCAGTCTTTGTCCTTGGTGTCCCCCACCCCGGCAGGATCCCCTGGAGTGTTTGTTACTGTGGAGGGAACAGAGGGCCTGGGGACAGGATGGGATGTACCGTAGAGTCACAACACACATACACACACACACATACACACACACAGTTACAGCCACCAAAATAGCCGGCAAACCCATTGGAACATCCTTCCTCGCAGAGGGCAGAAGCCCACATTTACACTATTTCTCCATCTTGTTTCCTAGCTTTGGGTGGGAACAGGAATTGAGACTGGGGGAGATCTGGGGAGAGACACACACATACACACCTACCCCAGCATTGAGGTCTCCCAGATCTGATGTCGTGGGGCGGGGCATCAGCTGAGGCCCCTGGGTCCCCCGAGTGTGCAGGCAGGGCCTCCAGAGCCCCAGTTCATGATCCCAATGTCCACAGTGGCCCCATCAGGGCAGGGAACGTCCCTATGGGGTTTACATAACTGATTCCTTCTCGCAGCGGCCCGCATCCCCCGCAGGTCCGGGACAGCGTTCGAGGAGGGGGTTCCCCTCCTCGGTAGGGACGGGCAGGGGAGACAGGGGCATCTCGCTCTTCACTTGGATCAACTCTGGCACCGAGCTCTGCAACTCTGAGCGATCCACGTAATTTTGGAGGAGTCCCGCCCCAAAGGCATCACCTTCCACGTTGAGAACGGTACAGGACCGGTCCCTGAAGAGGCAGGAGTGACAGGGAAGTGAGTGGGAGGGGAGAGGGTAGTGCTCAACCCTCCCGCTTCGCCCCGCAAAGCCTGGAGTCTCCATGGCGCCCTCCTTCATGGAACCCTGATCCTAGACCCAGCTCATCCCTCCATCTTCCCAGGATCCCCAATATACCTTCCTCCTAGAACCTCAAAGATCTTTTCATCCAGAATCCAAAAAGCTCCCTACCTCTCACCTCTCTTCTTTCCTGTGGAATCCCAAAGTATCCCGCATTTTCTCTGCCTCAGAACCCCAAAGATCCCCTCCTCCATCCTCCCTGGAGCCCAAATGATTCTTCTTCCAATAAAACACAAGATTTGCTCCTCCTGGAACCTCAAAAAGTCACCCCTCCCTTCTCTTGGGGCCTCAGAAGACCCATCCAACCTCTCCTCTTCCCCCTGAAATATTACTTTCTCACTCAGGCCTTTCTTTCTTTTTTTTTTAATTTTATTATGTTAGTCACCATACAATACATCATTAGTTTTTGATGTGGTGATCCAAGATCCATTGTATTCGTATAACACCCAGTGCTCCATGCAGTACGTGCCCTCCTTAATACCCATCACCAATACCCATCACCGGGCTAACCAATCCCCCCTCCCCCTCACTCAGGCCTTTCTAAAGAGCTCTTTTCCTTTCCTCTTTATACTTTGTGTGTGTGCCATTTTAGAAAATTGAGGTATAATTCACATACCATAAAATTTACCCTTTTAAAAAAAAAGATTTTATTTATTTGAGAGAAAGAGTGAGAGAGAGAGAGAGCACGAGCAGAGGGAGGGGTAGAGGGAGAGGGAGAAGCTGACCCCCCACCAAGCAGGGAGCCCAACACAGACTCAATCCCAAGACCCTGAGATCACGACCTGAGCTGAAGGCAGACGCTTAACTGACTGAGCCACCCAGGCGCCCCAAATTCACCCTTCAAAAGTATACAATCCAGGGACACCGGGGTGGCTCAGTTGGTTGGATGTCTGACTCTATTTCGGCTCAGGTCATGATCTTAGGGTTATGAGATCGAGCCCTTCGTCGGGCTCCACACTAAGTGCGGAGCCTGCTTAAGATTCTCCCTCCCTCTGCCCCTCCCCCGTGTCCCCTCCCTCACACATGCGCATGCTCTCTCTCTCTCAAAAAAAGAAAAAGGTATACAACCCAGTGGTTTTTAGTATATTCAGAGTGGTACGACCATCACTGCTACTTAATTCCAGGACGTTGTCATTGCTCTAAAAGGACACCCCACACCCACCAAGCAGTTATCCCCCATTCCCTCCTTCCCCGGCCCCTGGCAACTGCTAACCTAGGGTCTACAGATTTGCCTATCCTGGACATCGCATAGAAATGGAATCATGATATGTGGTCCTTTGTGTTCTGCCTTCTTTCATTTAGCATGAGGTTTTCAAGGGTCCACCACGTGGTAGCGTGTACATATGTCCATGCTTCATTCAATTTTATTGCTGAATGATATTCCATTGTTAGGGATATATGACATTTTATGTATCCATTCATCAGTTGATGGACACTGGGTTGTTTCCACCTGTTTGCCATTATAAATAATGCCACTACGAACGTTCATGTACAAGTTTTTGTGAACATGTTTCCAATTCTCTTGGCATTATACCTAGGAGTGATGTGGCTGAGAAGTAGTAACTCTGACCAGGGGCTCTTATAAGGGAGTTACATGTTTCCGTCATCTGATCCTCAAGGAGAGACCATTCCATTCTCTCCATTTTACAGATGGAGAAACTGAGACCAGCGATGAAGGACTCAACCTGGGTCACATTAGCTAGCAGAGGTGGCCCTGGGATTTGAACACAAGCAGCCTGGCCTAAGAATCCACTCAATATATTAACCACTGGGGAACACTACCTCTCTGGGGTTCTTCTTAGAACCCCCAAGATCCCCCCAAAAAACGAACCCCCAAGATCCCTTCGTTCCCTCTGATTAGAACGTTCAAGACACCATCCCCTTTCTTGCTCTCCTCTCCTGCCCACAGGCTCTCAATGACCCTCCTGTTCACCCCCTTTCCCTGGGGGGTGTACCCGTTAGGCCCCGGAAGCCCCAAACCCACACTTACACCAGCCAGTCCACAGCCAGGATCAAGGAGATGTCCCGAACCGGCAGGTTGACTGCCTCCAGGATGATGGCCAGGGTGAGGACGCCTCCAGCGGGAATGCCCGCGGCACCCACACTGGACGCCGTGGCGGTGACCCTGGGGGAAGAGAGTGGAGGTCAGGGAGAGGGGCCTCGGCGGCATGGGAAGCTGGCTCCCTCCAGCCCGCATCCACGCTGGGGGGAGGTGTCAGAGGGGCCGAGGGGGGGTCCTGGCCACAGCCATCCCACACTCACAGGATGGTGATGATCTTCACAAAGTCCAGGGATCGCTGGTTGAGCTGTGCAATGAACACCGCGGCCACACACTGGAAGAGCGCCGCACCATCCATGTTGACCGTGGCACCGATGGGTAGGATGAAGCGGCTGATGTGCTTGGCGACGCCATTCCTCTCCTCCACGCACTTCATCATTAGGGGCAGCGTAGCGGAGCTGAGGGGCGGCCCTGTCAGTCAGCGCGTGACCCGCCCCCTGCCGAAGCCCCGCCCAGTCGACTGACCCACTGGCCAATCGGCGCGCTACACGCTCCGCCCACCAGCCTAGACCCTTCCCCCACCACGCCCAGCCCTCCCCAGCTCTCCACGCCCATGCCCTTCTCTTCCCAGAGCCAGAGGCCCCTGGGATCCTGCAGAATGCCAGGATTCCAAAATATAGGAGTCCTGGACCCCCTGGAAGAGTACAGGCTGCTATCCTTCAAAATACACATAAAAATTCAAATTCTATAATGCCTTGGAGCTCGCTGACCCACACTCCCTCCCTGCTCCACCAATAATAGATCTTGGCTAAGAATTGCTATTCTCTGAGGAATCCTGCTGTGGGGAGGGCCGGGTTCTGAGGGCACAGGTGGACAAAATACCTAGAAGAGGGTGGAAAGGGCTCCTAAATGATTAGATCCAGGGTGGAGCGCTAGACCACTGCCCCCAGGGCCAGGCCTTGTGGAGGAGGAGGGGTTCCCAGGAAGGAAAGAAGAAGAAATCTCTAAGACAGTGGTTTTCTAATGGGGGAGAATAGACCCTTATGAGAAACTCACAAAAGTATGGCCCCTATATCCAGATCCAGTGTCCCCAGATTATAAAATGTCGAGGGTCTCCAGATACTGATACCCACTCCAGGCCCCTTAAGCTTAAAAATCCTGCACTAGTCGGCCCCAAAGCCATACCTAGAAGAGGTCCCGAAGGCAGTGGCCAGCGCTGTCATGATGCCCCACAAGAAGCGGTAGGGGTTTTTGCGGGTGAAGAGGAAATAGATGAGAGGCAGCACCAGGAGCCCATGGATGGCATGGCCCAGCAGACAACACAGGATGTATTTGCCGAGACTGGCGAACAGCATCCCCACGTCCTCCATCTCCACGATCTTGCCAGCCACCAGGAACAAGATGCCCACGGGGGCATACCTAAGTGCCCAGGAGACAGATCGCGGCCTCTGACTGCGTGTCCACGCAGGACCAGGCTTGGTGCTCAGTACACAGCCTGACCACGGGCTCCCTTGTGGGCAGGAAACATGGCGTGTGCTGAGGATGGGCACCTTCCCTGCCATCCTCCAAGCTCTTTCCCCTTGAAAACAGCAGGGAGATAAAGAAGCCTGGGGGTTCCTATCGCTCGCTTGGAGTTGAATCACTAACCAGATTTGGACTGAACACATGGCCCCCATGAGTGAGTCATTTACATGTTCTGGTTCGTTTGTTACAGCAGCGAGAATGATTTAAACCGATACAATCGGGGCGCCTGGGTGGCTCAGT